TTGGATCTTTTTGTCCGGAGACATTCCTCCAGCATTCAACAGGAGGATCTGAAGACGTTGTGATTCGCTCTAACGAGGGCAATTTCTCTTATAGCCGTGTTTCAAGCTAGTCATAATAAATCGAAGTCAAATCAAATGCCGGGTGATAGACTTTTTTGCCGTACAAAGACACGTTGTCCAGGGTGCACCACGTGGAGGTAAGTCTATTGCGCACCCCGCATTAAAGGTATAATTATAAGATATTGAGTATTAACACACTAACGGCGAAATTAATTTTTGAAAAAAATGCAACCAACCGCATTTACGAGGGTATCACAGCAGACTGACACCGGCGACGTGATGAGTTTTGGTGGTGTATCAGGCGAACGCTACCTAGACACGTATGGAAAATGTTTCAAACGGCAATAGCGTCTTCCTTTACGAGCGTTAAATGCAGTGGTAATTATAATTAGGTAAAGCATAAAGTAACTAAATAACGATACGCCAATAGGTATTTTAAAAATAGCAAAATACTGGCTGCCTTGATTCCTCTCTCAAAGCTTTTTTTACCTCCTCATTATTCCCTTCTGTCAATGGCTCTTCCTTCCAATCAGTAAGTTCGCAAAACTCATGCGAATCAGATCTTACTTTGATAATTGTGCAAATTCTTGACTTTAGGTAATTATAACATTATTCTAGTCCTATAATGTAGATTGACTGTTAGTATCTCTACCCTCTATCTCTCTAGTTAAGTTCAAAAGGAGCTACGCAGTTTTTTTTTGCAAAACGTCTGCTAAGTCCAATTTGACAGACTTTTCCCCACACTCTACTCTGAACCTCTCTAGTGAGTCTCTCAAATTTTTGACTTCTTCCCTGTTAACCACAACCAACTCCCATGTTTGTTAATTTCACTGTCCGAGTGCATACCGGCGGACACCCTTATTGTGTCACCTAAACTCAGGGATGAACGCTTTGTAAGTTGCGTCGTAGATAAACACAACTACTGATGCAATTTTTAACATTCGTGTAATCTGTTCAATTTTTAAATATATATATTATTCACTTTATTGATTTTAAACAAACAAGGGTGTCTTGTGGCACGTCATCGCTTGCGTGTACTCATAGGCTTGATGTGCGGCTGTACAACCTCGCGTACGGATTGAGGACAAGAGCACGCAGCCAATAGCAGCTCAAGGGCCCTTGCTTGTTTTACCGAAAGCCGCCATCTTGTATGACTGAGTTTCCTTCCTGTGACACAATTGCGTGATTTAGCTAGCGAATAAACGTATTCCTGCCATACGTCTACTTCTTCTGCGAACCCATAGTAGAGGTTTCTGAGTTTAGTCAAGGTTTTCAAAAGTAGTTATCCGCTACAGTCTTATTTGACTGTACATTACATTTTCTTCCATTTGTTAAAATTAATTGAAAACGGTTCGCTGCTAATTAGGGACTTGACTTCCTTGTATTTATTTCAATGATTTAAAAATAAAATAATAGCAGTTGCAAATGAAGGTTGAGAAACAATAAGATAAAAACGGCCTTTAACCAAGATAAAATTGATTACAGTCACAAAATCCTGCTACATTTACTAAGGTGTCTAATTTGAATAAAAATGCACTTTCACTGAAAAGCGTTGAGCATTGAAAATTTACATGATGTTCTTTATTTTCAAGAAAAGGTTTTTAGAGAACTTTTAAGATCTTTGATTTGCTTTAAATATTAATAATTTATTTCCCCTCTATGCATGTTTCCTCATGATCTAAACATGTAAAAATCAGGATTGGATTGGAAATCCTTTTATGATATTGTTTCCATATTCCATGGAACTGTCTACCACCTGGATAATTGCAGTGATCGGTTAAAGTATCTTGACAATTTTCCTCCCACCAGCTTCTAAGATTTCAATGAAAGCATTTTAGCACAACAAGGCTAGATTTATATGGATTTCATAGAGTTTGCTCAAAAATATGTACATTTTTTACTCTACCTAAGGCAACTAAATGTATTCAAACGTTTGAGCATGAGTTAAAATTGCAATTAACATATTTAATTAGTCAGAAGGCAAATGTGGTAATATCTGCTTCCATAAGTGTTAAACAATATTTCCTTATTACTTTAAAAGAACTTAAGCACATTAAATTTTTGTTCAATAGTAAGTCCTAATTCAGAGGGTGTTGCCATTGGTCAATGTACAAGGTCATCTATATGGAGTGAGTTTCATGGATCACCTATATTTTAAGCACGGGATTTCCCAACGAGAGGCGATCTAAATACTATTAAACTATCCTCCTGAGAATTCTAGTAGTAGTTTTTTCTGCTCACACTTGGATGATTCTATTGAGAACGCATACGAGAGCAATTGAAAGGAGGTTTAGTTTCGTCTCTCATAGCAAGTTATAGCTGAATTTTTAAGGAACGCCATTCAGATATGAAATATTTTAAAAATTTTGTAGTCCTTCAATAAACTAATAAATTATTAACTGGGTGTAGGCTGGACTAACTAATTGGTTCGCCAGTATCCAGAGAACTTTAGTGAAAGTTATTGGCAAACAAACTGTCTCATAGAATAGATCTAAAATATTTTAAAGAATAACATCTAATTCATCTCGTTACCTTGTATGCTTACCTCTTCAAATTTCCATTTCTACCCTATAGAACCTCATGCCCTTGAGCAAAAGGCATTTTAAGAGAGGCCCTTTATTAAATATTGTTTCATGCAAAGCTAATATTCAATTAAAGTACTCTACTTCCCAATCTCTACCCTTATGGAAAGTAAATAGAGAAGGAATAGTGTTGTCCATTCGAGGATTAATCAAAGTGCATTTCTGTCCATGTAGGTCAAGTAATGTGAATAACTAATCGCATTAATTAATCTAATCCCTTAATTTGGATGGTAGAACACTAATATTTCATAAAAGTGTCTCCATAATACCCATCCTCCACCAAGGTTAATGGTAGTGTACACCTATATTTCGCAAATCAAAATTTGATTTCACTTAATTTTATTAAGTCTAAAACTAATTAAATTAATGAATAACTTAAATGCGTGCGCTATAGACGTGCCTTCACGTGGGACACCCAGGACAACATATACTCATACGCAAAAAATATATGAACCGGCAGTTGACTTCTCCCTTCAAACTCCCATTACCACACTGTATGTCGTATTCCCCACTTTCTCAGTACTCACCTTAACCTACTCTCTACCTTTGTGTCTGTCTCTTTTACATCTGCTAATCACTCTTCTGTTCCTCCACCTCAACTTTTTGTGACTTTGTCCGTTCCTCCCTCTGTGAAGCCTGAGGTCAACCAAAGAGCTATTCTTAACTATCATAAAGCCTGCCACTTGATATAAATAAATAACCTAAGACATCCATCTGTAATTGGTATTCAGAAAGGTGTGCTTTTATACATAACTGGTCACCATTTATTTGTCGAATCGTCTCAGTGAGAGGGAGGGTGAGAGAGAGAAAGTGGGAGGAGGTTCGTTAGACAGGGAAGTGATAACTGGAATAAATTGAAATGGGTATCGTGAATAAGGAAGCTGAATATGAGATCAGAAAAAGGACTTCTCATTGAAAACAGTAGAGGGAAGAGGGGAGGTTGGAACCTATTCAGAAGTGGAGAGTGAGAGTGAAAGAAGTTGTAAAATGCCTCTGAGGCAGAAAGTGAAGACAAGTGGTAGAGGTGAAGAAAGAACTCTGTTGTAGTGAAAAATGAAGAATAAAGAATGGAAAATGGAAAGTAATGCGGAAGTAGATAAGAAGAAAAAAAAATGAAGGAAATGAGGTTAAACCTTATTCCACTGCATGTCTTCTTGAGTCTAGGATAATGTGTAGTATGGTGATGTCTGCATGGATAAAAGACCATTGATTCAAGAAAACCTATAGGCTTACTCGGAATAGTTTGTTGGAAAACAAAAAAAGACATTGTATAGCTTCAGAATTGGACCCGATTTATATATATATATATATATAAGCATAGAATGCAGTAGTGCTTTTGATAATCTATAAATATGGAAGGAAAGAGTAAGTGGGAGGTAGAATGGAAAAAGGAGAGTGGAGTGCCGGGGGGGGGGAGGGTAGGGGAATAAGAAGCAAGGAAATAGTTTACAAAAAGGTGAGAAAGGGGGTGGGGTGGGGGTGGGGAGGGGGTTGGGGCTGATAAATATCGCATTAATGGTACATATAAAATGAAGGACAGGAAGCAGAAGAAACAGCAAGGAGTATTTGATAATATTGAGGTTTCTGATTTATTGATTTTGGTCGAGGGAAGGAAAGGTGGGTGGATAAATGGGGAGGGAACTTGGCTGCCTGAGTGGAAGGAAAATAAATAAGCTTATAATGAAAGGCGTTGAAGGTCAAAAAAAGTTAAAATATCTACACATGCGGAGAGGAAACAGAAGGGAAGTGGGGGGGGGGTAGGGGAGGGAGAAAGTAGGAAGTGGTGGGAAGAATAGTGGGAGATTTGTGGTCCCAGTTATAGAAGAATAGTCGCACTTAAGCCGTGTGAGGGTAGACTAATAATGCATTCAAGATATATAAATACCGGAAGGTGGTATAGTTTTTGTGTTTGTTGCAGATTATTTGTAATGAAAGATAATGGAATATTAGTTTCTGTTTATATAAATATTCCTACGCCACAAGACACACATAAAGAATATGGGTGGAGGGGGGGGAGAGGGAAGAGTTGGGACTTTGGGGAAAAGGGAAAGAGCAATCTGGAATTTATTGGAACTCTTTGAGTCTAAGGTGAATTTGGTGGAACGCGACTATAAGGTGCTGCTATACAGCTGATGTTCCCCTGTTCACGTTTTCAATAAACCGACTAAAGTCCTCTTCCGTACCGGTAATCTTTGCATGTCGGTAATTGTTCCAGAGAGTGGCTGTGACGTCTAGGGCTATGAGGTCACTGGATGCTCGGGATACTACTTGGAGAATGAGAACTCCATCTGGACCAAGATTGTTGTTCACGAAGCGTGTACAATCGCGCTCTTCGGTGTTGGACAACTGCCGAATAGCTCGAATATACTGTTTGATATAGGCGATTCGTCTCACCGGCACTAAAGTATTGAAGGCCCATTGTAGTGTGCTGAAAGCGGTAAAGGCACCCAGAAGAAGAAACCAGAACCACAGAAAGACGTATATCTTCTCTACGAAATAATTGATCGGAAGTACGCATTGGAGGGTGTAACTAAAAGTAGAAAGAGCAATGTCTGTCAAATATCTGCTGTGTATCTTCATCGATAATCATTAAAAAGGAGGTAACACGGAAAGTACTTATAAATCCCCAGCGTTGATGGGAATTGTCTGTGCAGATGTCATTTAAAAGGAAATTAAAATAAAAAATGATTTTCATTCGATTAACGTGACTACTGTTTGAATATACTACTTTATTGACGACGTATTTTACATATTTTAGGAGAAGATGAATGAAAATCAAGCGGATATCCTTATTTCATCAAAATATGTAAAAATAAGCTCACTTGAAAGAGACCCATCTTTTCTCAATTGAGATCATCTTTTATAAAAAAAACTTATTAATTCTGATGGGTAGAGAGGAGAAGACTCAAGAGTAATAGCCCATAATGCAAATAAACATTCTGCAAATTGTTTAAGCCACCCTGCTGATATGCCTTATGGCGGCTTTAGGTAGATTATCTCTAGACATTCCGCCACTTCTTACCCAATTTATTTCAATTTAGGCGAAACATTTTAAATTTATTTTTGGATCAATGGAGGAAATTTGACTAAGTCTTCAACTCTTCATAATGTTGAATATTTTGTTAACATAAAATATCTTATCACAATTTCTACATTTTTTCCCAATTCAATGTATTTTTTCCCAATTCAAAAGCAATTAATCTGAGAATAAATCCCAAACCAACAAAGTACATTAGTAATCTCTTAAGCCTATATTAAAATGATCTGACACAGAGTCGGGTTGTTTAAAATTATAATACGATTAAAATATATGGTATATCATGTGCGCTCGAACATTCTGGAATACAAGATTGCGATGCTGACGTCGTTTTGGATTGTGAGGTAACAAATGCGATTTCCTCTTGACCAATCAACAGCTAATAGTCATTACGGGGACAGCATACCCCAAACAGTATTTAATGATTAAGCTCCATGCTACATAGCACAATCCAAATAAAAATGTTCCACGTCATATGTTGGTTTCCTCTACATAGTTGAAATAGCTTGGCCAACTTCAAGAGCTATTCCATACTGGGATATTTGGACATAGAGATAACTGGGGAGAAGTCAGCGATTTTTCGTGTAGCAATCTGCCACTGAGAAGCACAGTTACGTCATATTTTCAAAGATTGTATCTGAATGTAGCAGCTCTTAATTTTTTATCTTCTATTCCAATATTGAGGACGAAACGACAAAAAAGGATATACATATATATATATATATATATATATATATATCAGCGATCTCTCGCATAGTTGCAATACTTCAGAATCATGTTATGACACATCAGATTTCTAGGTCATTTGTGTTTAAATTGAACTAAAATTAAAATAAGATAAGGGTAAAAATGGATCATGAAGTACGTAATGATTAAAATAGATTAATTTGGAAGAGCATCTGCTAATATTTTGCATTTTTTAACTTTTATTTCAAGTCACATCAATTACTTAACTAATTTCAGGGCCACCTAAAAAGGCCAATGGGAACTTAAAATTTTTAGTTAAAGCAACTCAATTGAAGATAAATTTCGAATCAAATGCTGAAGGTATTCTATGAAAATAGACAAAAAAATCCAAATTTATTGCCCTAGGTTTGTTTGGTGATAATTACTTAGCGCAAAATTGAACAAATGTTTAATCCCTAGTGTTAGCCAATTATACATTATTATTCTTAATAATTGAAAAAATAGCCGCTTTGTTCATTAGATTGAGGTCGAATCTTATCTGCAAAATGATTGAAAGGTCGCCCCTTCCCTTAGTTGAATTTATTTTTTGCCACATAAGGTAAGATAGAATGCAGGCTAAAAGGGCATAGATCAAAATTGACTGTTTTAATTAAGGGGGTCCATTTTCGGCTCGGAACCTTTACAATTTTCAATAACTGGGACTGTCAAAGTGTAGTCCAAAGGACTGTATAATAGCGGAATGTTCCATCTTATTCTGAGAAAAAAATTAGAAGAAACAGAGGACATTAGGGAACAACCAACTCAAGACCAATGCCGGTGGAATATTCATAACGTAACTCAATTCTGAAAATTTGAACTCAATTACAAAAGGATAATAATCAAATAAGTATTCCGTATTCTTTATTTATATGTACATGTAAAATGGTCAGACAAAGTGGTAGATCAATAGCCTTACACAGTTCAACTGATCGTTGAAAACCTCAGATAGAAAAAGTCAAGAAACTGAATGACCGAAATTGTCAGAACTGACCTTTGAATCACATGAATGATAAATGGTGAACCGCACCCAAAACCAAAGTACTACGATGGTTTAATAATGAATTTGATAAAAAAAACTCATTTTAGGCCTCTACTCAACCACTTTCCATTTGTGGCTTACTTTCTCAAAATTGATTTTACTACTTAATTATCAATTCTGCTTAGGTGAAAATAGGGCACTAATTTTTTTCTGAAGTCAATCACAATAATGTCAAAAGTTATTGCGGTTCTCAAGTTTGACATCTTTGCATTCCGTGACTTAGTGCATACTCACTGAGAGGCACTCAATCAATGCAACAAAATGTTAAAGTAAAATCAAATAAGAGAAATTTTCCCCAATCGAAGGAATGCATTTTTTTCAGAGCAAGTTTTAGTTTCGATGAATGGTGTTGTAAACCATTTTCATGCTTCAGGTGATGTGAATGCATTGAGTCGGTTTAGGCAGAAAAGGCATGATAATAAGTATGCATGCAGGAGACGGATGTCGAGCACAAACCTTCTCCTTTACTTTTCCCCTCCCCCCCCCCCCCCCCCCCCCCCCCCCCCCCCCCCCCCCC